TAAGAGAGAGAGAGAGAGAGAGAGAGAGAGATGCATTACGAGAGACGGTCTCGCGATTTCGTAAAGTCTCTTCGTTTCACGTCAATCTTGAGAAGAGGATCTCACGTTCGCGCTTCTCTCAAGATTTTCGCTACTGATCGAAATCTCCGATGCATACCTTCGTCCGTTATAAATAATCGAAGGAGAGACGTGTTGCGTGTCTATATTTAGGTGGAAGTCTAGTGCGTGCCAGTATCTCATTTGAAACAATCAGCGGGAATAACCTTGTACTTGGAAATCACATCCGACCGCCGGTCGGACGCCGGTCTGATATGTTTTTCCACACGGAACGGACGTTCTTCTTTCCAGGCGCCAAGCTGCCGCGCCACTGGTACCATTCATCTCCAAGACAATATGTCTATCTATGAGACAGACCAAAAAGAAGGAACCATTCGTGAACAACTCGCAAACCACTTTTCCGAGACTGAATGAAGTTATTACTGCACTGCGCTTCTCACCTGACGTCCCTCTAATCCTCGGATTCCTGACGTAATTCGGCACCCGGGCACAAAGTCATGTTCCAGCAGTTTTACGAGTATTCGAAGACTTTTTTGTATAGACTCCCGAAATATGGCCGGAAATTGTGGAGCTTGACCATTGTGTCGAGGTTCGTAAGGCACGTAGATCCATAATGCAATTTATAATGATTTCCGTAGAAACTCCATTAAGAAGATTTTACGAACCTCTACGGTATTTCCGTACGCGAAAAAATATACGAATGGACATGATGAATGGACATGACGGATCTCTTCTTTTTCGGGATCTCTTTGGAAACTCTTGTGGATAAAGACATCTAAAAGAGGTAAGTATTATAATAAGTAATATTTTCTATTTAATAATATTTTCAAAGAAGTCCCAATGTGTATTTTTCTTTCTATAGTGAATTATAAATTTTTTTCGACAATGGAAATCAATATATCAATATATATCAATATAAAGTTTGGAGACTCTTAAAAGCTCTACTTATTTTTCTATTTTATACGATATTCATAGAAATGAATCACAGAAGCGAATCTCATATTAGTATGCTGGCGAAACAGTCCTTTGCTTCTGAACGAAGTTTTATTTTTTTTTATTATCAATCCCTATTTATTACAATCCCTATTATTCTTAATAATTCTTAGACGGATAATTTTTAGAAGATTATTCGAATTTTAAAATATATAATTTAGAGAAAGAAATAAGTATAATTTTGTGTAATATTTCAAAAAAATACATTGAAAAAAGGCAATGCAAGAAATTAAAATTATAAACTATCCTCAAAAACACAAGTTCCCTTTTTGGCAATCTCCTTTCAAAGAGTTTTATTGAAAATTTTAACAATTTACGTTCCTCGCGAATCCTTTGCAGATTCCTCGTACGCCTCGTGTTTCAGATCTCTATTGTTACGTAGCCTCGCTAACGAACGATCGTTGAACGAAAAGGAGATCGGGGAGATTTGGCGTCGTCCCTTGAACAGGCCATAGATTTCTCACGGCATGCGTGAATCGGCGAGGAATATGTGTCATGTCACGTAAACAGACTATAATAATATTACACTATAAATACACAGACTCTCGTCGGGCGAGACCGTGTTTGCAGGCGCCGGCGCCGCTGGCCGCCGCCGGCCGTGTACATTACACGCGCCGAGGGAGCATTATCCGTCCTACGTATTCGACGGTACTCTTCTACCCCCCCCCCT